ATATATATATATATGTTTTAAACTTATTTTTTATAAACTTCCTCTTTTTATAGACTCTTATGTAACTTATACTTTTGACCATTACCGTTATTTCTTAAACATAAAATTGTTAAATCGTTTTAAATAATACTAATTTTTAGTCGCACCGTAATATATGTACTTCCTGAAAATAAAATATATAATTATTGAATAAATGTGTATATTTCACACACACACACACACATACACATAAAAATAAAAGATGTTATGTTTGCTTATTTGATCGAATATCTTCAGCTAAAACTCGAGTCATGTCTCGCAAAACGAGTGCGCTGCTATTCGCGTCGATTCGATATTTCGATAATCGCACACTTTCGATATCGTACACTTCGATACAATTGTTTGATTAATGTTTTGTATTTTTTATGAATTATTAATTATCGTTTTGTTCGCAAATATCATACGTATGTGCCGTGTGTGTTGAGTGTTTGTAGTAAGTAGCATTGTGCATTCGTCGGTAATCAGTGAGCTTTACAGTGAAATCGTATCGCGGTCGTCACGCTCTTGCGACGCACGAAAAACAAAGTGTTTCGCTCGTCGATAACTAATGTGTGCGTAATTAAAAAAAAAAACAGAAACTTAAAAAAAGAACGGTGTGAAAACAAGCTTGATATAATAAATAAGTGACAGTATGTGAAAATAGCAACAAGCATTTGAATTTCTGACAACTGACACGCGATATGGCTCCGAGCGAGATAGGGAGATAATTAGATAATTTAATTAGATAAATACATCTCTTTTAGATAATCATGCTGCTATCGATATGAAATAATTTTAGAATTAGAAAATTTAATTTTACATGTTTTACTCGTACTTTAAGTGTGTGAATTATGCAAGCTGCGTCGCGCGCATCAGTACGATATTTCGATAATCGTAATATCGCACTTCGATACATTCGATACATTCGATACATTTGTTTTAGCGGCCAGTCGTGACCAACGCGAAACAAAAAACGAAGTCTATCTCATATTTCTCGCGATTATTATTATCTCACGCGCAAATATTATTATAACTATTATGTATGTAATGTTATAAATATGTATGTAATGTTATCAGGCACTTATTGTGATAAGTAATCAGCATTCTAGATGAACACTATTATAACAGCTAAAACCGCGGCCGTGACAGTTCTCATTCTTTCTTCTGCTAAAAGTAAGTAAAAAGTGAATTTTATATAACAGACAGCATATAATGTAATTTATATAATAATTTATTTGATAAATAAAATATTTTACAATATTATATAATAACTCGAAGTATACGACGCGTCGTTGGTCAATGATCTTGTTGGCACCTATATTTTACGTCTCGCTTAATAACCAAATACGCGTGGTATTTCTTCAATTCCTTGATGTATCAATCTTTTTTTTTTTTGATGATATTTATCAGCATTAAATGTAACGAGTATAGTAACAAGAAACAGTCAATATAGTACACTGTGGTATGGCAACAACGTAAATGCCTTTATATCCGAAGGTGTCGCATGGGCTGTTTTTTTTGTTCTTTTTTACAGTAAAACGTTTTAACTTTATGTATTAAATAAAGGAATACACATCGTTGCCTACTTGTGAAGAAAATAAATACTAAAGAAACCATCGGTAAGCTTCATTGCCTTACAAATAAGTACGCGAACATAATTATAAGTATTATACACATCGTTAGTGGGCATAGAATATACTATGGTTTTTGAGAATTCTTTAAATACAAGGATACGTAGTATGTTCGTCGTTGTAAGTTTCCAAGTGCAATTTTCATTCTTACTTTTTTTTTTAGAAAAATTAAACTTTCTGAATCTTTGCACTGCGTGCGTAATAATAAAAATGTACCAGAACGACGAATCTGAAAAAAAAAAAAAAAAAAAGAAACTAGCTCTCGTGTGGATATTTAGCACATTCGGGCATTCTGATAATAAAGGCGTTAAAGAGAATCACAATTGATCTTGACTAGATTAGCACTCGATAAGCACTCGTCCAGTCGTGCAAGTCTTAATTTCAATGTGTCTAATTGCTGCAACACGCGAAACGTGATTTTATACAGGAAAGATATTAATGACACTGACCATCATAAGTTTATCAGTCGAGCATATAGATTTGATATTAAATGTTAAAAGAAAAAGAACAAAATATTGGAATTGCGGAAAGGATCAATTGTTTTCGCGAAATATCGTAGAGAGAGAGAGAGAATACAAATGTTCAAAATTATATACTTGTAACAAATGCTCATTCGAACAGTTTTTTAGCATAATGCCAAATGCGGAAGAAATATTCATCTCTTCTGAGTAATCTCGCTCTCGCGTACGAATGTATATCGGCGTCCATATTGTGTTCTCGCAGCCACGAACTCGTGTTTTCCGTGCTAAAGCTGAGCGATGCGGTCTCGCCTTTGTCTACAGCTTCTGCAATTGGCTCGACGAATGCAAGTTCTATAAAAAAATAAAGTTGGTTAAAATTTCGATCTCGATTATTGTATGATAGTATATTTCTCAAAATAAAAGTCAAATAAACGGAGAAGATTCTTGAAAAAAAAAAAGAAAGATAATAGAAAACGAATGATCAAAAAGTAAATAGTACCAGAGGTCGGCACGATCTTGAAGGGCTCCTCCGATTCTAAATGATCGCTAAATCCGATCTCGTTCCGTGCGAATATCCTCACAAGATATTCATGATTTTCTTGCAAATCTCTGATGTTCAGTTTCTGAATGTCTGCGCTTACTCTTCCCACTTCCATCCACATGGTCTTCTTCGCGTCTCTGATAGCGATTTTGTAACCTTCCAAGGGTGCGCCGCCGTCTGATTCAGGTCTGCCCCATTCGATTACCATTGTGTTCGCCGCAATTTGTCTCATCTCTAACGGAGCCGTAGGTGGCGAAGGAACGTCTACGAATAAAAAATAAATCATAGATTGTGTATAAGATATGTGAAACTTCATTGTATATAACAACATAGTGTTGTAAGGCTCACTGGCATGAGTCTTTAGTGTGACTGGTTCAGAATTAGTCGGTGTGCTGAGTCCTATGCTATTTTCAGCGAAGATTCTGAAGAGAAACTCGCTTTCTTTCAAGTTTTCCACGCAATATTGATTTATCGTAGCGTCCAGTGTAACAACTTTCGTCCATCTGGCGCCTTTTCCTATCAATGGTCTCTTCTCGATCACGTAACCTGAATCAAAGGAATGTAAAAAAAAAAACAATAGTAACTCAAATGACATTGAAAAAAGAATCGTAAAACGTTCTGTGTTATTTCAGATGCATTCACCTGTTAATTCTGATCCTCCTGTAGTAGCCGGTGGTGTCCAGCTGAGAGTGACGCTCTTGCTTGTGACATTTGTCGCGCGAACGTTTTGAGGACACGAAGGTGGTGCTAAAAAGAAAAATTCAGTTATAATGTGCAGTAGTTTTTTTATATGAAACACATTAGTAATAATCAAACACGTTAATAGCAGGGTATAAGCTCAAAATAATAAACTTACTCTTAACAACGACCATTTTTGTTGACGGAAATATACCTAGCAGCGCATATATGCTGTTTTCTGTAAGCTTTAGTATTTCTGAGCAAAAGCGAAAGCGTTAATAATAAAGCACAAAAAATTGATCATTTCAAAATTTAATCAATATCTGGGAAAGAAATAAGCCGAAATGTATTTTGAAAAATAATCAGTTAACTCACTCGGTCGTTTGCCAGCTGTAACTGTTTCTTCTGGTACGTATGGAGGACCAGTACCGACACTGTTTTTGGCTGTTATTCGGAAATTATATGATATGTCCGTTTTCAGATCAGACACAATAACATTTGTAACGTCTCCTTTCGTAATGGCAATCTAGAAAAATACACGTAGGATTTCGCAAACAATTGCTTCAATACCTGAATTTATACCGAATAAAATAAAATCGTACTAACCCTCTTCCAAGCTTTCTTCGTTGTTTCTTTTATCTCAACGATGTAGTCTGTGATAGGAGTACCGCCGTCATTCTCTGGAGATTCCCACTTTATTGTGAACGACGTTTTCGTCATTCCAGAAACTTCAAATGGTCCTCTCGGAGGTCCTGGTGGTTCTGTTATATAATAAAATTTAATTAGTTTTTTTTAACATTTCCTGTAATATTCTTTGATGTAACGCAACTAGAATTGTTGCAATCGTTTTCTTACCGAATGAAGTTCTTGTTCTAATTAGCTCAGATTCCAAAGGATCTGAAGACCCGACCGCATTTCTCGCGATTATTCGGAACAGATAGTCAACATCCTGTTGCAATTTCTGAGCGCAGAAGCTCTCGACTTCTTTGTCAACGTCACCTACTTTTGTCCATGTTTTCTTGGTCATTTCGTATTTCTCAATAGTATATCCTTTCAATTCCGCGCCACCGTCGTCGACCGGAGGTCGCCATTCTATGGTAACGCGATCTTGTCTGATTTCTTTTGCGACAACTGGTCCCTGAGGTTTGGTTGGCTTATCTGCAATGTGCGTTATACAATGTGTGTATTACATTTTGTTACTGAAATTATTTTATTATAATTATTAAAAACAATAAAAATAAGAAATATAAAAATGCAAAATTATTGATAAGAAGAAGTAAAAAAAAAAGACATTAACCTATGACACGAAGATTACATTCCACTGACGAGCTACCGGCTTCGTTTTCCGCTTTAACTGCATAAGTAGCCGTGTCATCTCTGATTACTGAAGAAATTGTGATAATAGATGTAGTTTCTTCGGTCTTAATAGAGACGCGCTTATCAGTTATTTTCTTGTTGTTCTTTGTCCACATTATTTCTGGTTTTGGGAAACCGCTGAAATTGATCTCGACCTTCCAGTTATCGCCCACTGCTAGTCTCTGAGTCATTATATTTTCATCGCAAGTAATTTTCGGTGACTCCTGGATTTTTAATTGGCATGATGTTTCTGCTGTACCCGCGTCATTCTGAGCTTTAACTATAAATGTGGCCGAAGATGTTTCTGTAGTTCTTTGAATCGTGTACTTAGCCACATGGTTTTCATACGTGATATCTTTGTCTTCGAAAACTTTACCATTCTTCAACCTAAAAAATGATTATCAAAATATGAATATAATATGAATATAATATATTGAATTTCTTCAGTTAACAAAAACCAAAAAACTGATGAAATAAAAGATGTACCATGTGATACGAGGTGTCGGTATACCACCAATTACGCAAGAAAGCGTAACAATTTCTCCTAATCCGGTTATGACACTCTTGAGCGGTTCCAAAACGGTTGGTGGTTCAGAGGCTAATAGCTTAGAAATTCTTATGTACGGCGTATTAGGTGATGCCTCGCCTGGTCCAGCTTCGTTAACCGCTGTCACACGAAAGGTGTACTCTTTATCAGTGATTAAGTTAGTCAGTTTATACGTTATTTCGCTTATCGTCTCTGTAACTTTTCTCCATCTTGAAATAAAATAATTGTGATATAGTAAGTCACAAAAATTTAATCAAAGATCACGTAGACCTCATAAATAAATTTACACAAAACTTACGAAGATTCCGTCTTTTCGTGATACTCTAAAATATACTCTGTGATTGGGGAATGTCCATCTGAATCTGGTTTTTTCCAGTGAAGAGTAACGCTGGTGTCAGTAACTTCGAGCGGTTCTGGAATTCCTGGTGCTCCAGGTTTCTCTGTAATGTGTGAATATTAATTACATTTATATTTATTTATTATTACTTAAAACTGAGTTTGTTTCTCAGAAATGTTCAAACGATATCATAGACAAATATATAGTATGTAAATACTTACGTACGACGATGACGCTAATTTCTATGCTATCCTCTCCATGAGGATTAACCAATTTTAGATTATAATTGCCAAAATCTTTCTCTTGCACATCTCGAATCGTTAAAACAGCCGAATATTCGTCAATAGACGTGACGATTCGTTTAGATTTTTTAATGACACGATCGTTGACAGTCCATTCGTCGATCGGTGTTGGCGTAGCTGTGAAATTCACAACGATCTCGATGTCATTGCCTATTGTTGTCTTGTATTTCTTTGGTGAATCGGGATTGATTCTAGGCGGTTTTTCGATAACTAAAATAATCAATAGATATTATATACATGCACGATTCAAATGTGTAGAAGTGGACATGTGAAGTAAAGATAAAATCAAACTTACTTTCAACTTTTAATCTGGACGACGTCTTCACATTTGCAACCACGGCAGTATATTCGGCGATATCTTCGGTCGTGCATTTTTTAACGATAAGCTTCTTAACATTTCCTTCGTCAATGATGCTATATTTCGGCGATTGTGCATCAATCACTTCACCTTTCCTGTAAATTTTACATAATGTGTTGTGTATATCGTTTGTTTAATCATAACTATAAAGTTCAAATTAGTTTTATATTTTTGTTTCTAATAAGAATTTACTTACTTCAACCATGTCACTGGTATATCGGCAGACGACAATTCAATAAGGAAAGTTGCATCGGTGTTGAGAGGCACTAGAGTGACATCCGGTAATTTTTTGATGAAGTCCACTTCGGGTTCTTCGACCGTTAGTTTAGCCAATGAAGTTTGGTTGCCGACTTGGCAAGAATATGTTCCCGCATCTTCTATTTCCGAATCGTAGATTTTCAGTCTCTGTCTCTTGCCATCAATTGATAATCGCACATGTTCAGAGAATTGCAACTCTTGGCCATCTTTGAACCAACGCACCAAAGCGTCACCTTTGGTCAACTCTATTTCGAAAGTTGCTTTCTCTCCTCTGGCTATGGTTACATCTTGCATCTTAGTAATAATCTCCGGCGGTAATTCAACAACTGTAACTTCCGCCGTACATTCCTCATCAGGAAGAGCACATGAATATTCACCCTCGTCGTGAACCGATGTGTTTCTGATGAGAAGTCTTCTCATATTACCGTCTTTCACAAATTCTAGTTTTCCTTTGCTTGGTGTTAATAATTCACCATCTTTTTGCCATGTAACGTCGGCTGTTTGTGAGGTGATCTCAACCTCCAGAATCGCCACATCGCGCTCTTTTACCTCAAAGTCTTGCAATCTCTTCACAAATTCCGGTTTAGTGGCTTTGATGGTGACGTCGCTAGACGTTACTTGGTTCTTAACGGTACACTTATATATTCCTGCGTCAGAAAGAGCGCTCTTTTTGATAACTAATCTGTGTACTCGTCCTTCTTGAATCACCTCGCGATGATCCATTCCGCTGATTTCTTTATCATTGTGCCACCAAACTGTAGAAACTGTATGAGATGTTTCGCAGTTCAGTTCAAGAGTTTTGTACTCGTCAACTATTACTTTATCTTGCAGTTTCTTTGTGAAAGACACTTTGGCAACATCTACCGTGACTTTTGCGCCATGAGAAGCTTTTCCTACTGGATTACTAGCGACACATTTGTAATCGCCAGTATCTATTTCGGAGTCTGCGTTTTTAATTTCGAGCAAAATGTTTTCGCCATCATAACTTTCTATAATATTAGGCGATTTCTCAAGTGGCTTATTATTTCTCAGCCAAGTAACTTCTGGAACTGGATTTCCAGTAACTCTAGCTGTTAGTTTAAAGGTTCCTTTCTCCGGAACAACTACTTCTTGGAAACGTTCGGTGAACAGTGGAGGTTCTGGAGCACCACTAGGTACTTCTGTAGTTCATAAAAATGATTAGTATGAGATATTTAATTTATGCAAGTATAGATATACACTTGTATAAGACAATTAGTAACATAACAACAATAAACGCATATCATACCCTTTACAAACGCGACGTATTTATCGTTTATACAGTGCTGAAAACTAATGGTGACTTGTGACTTGGAATTAACTGAAAGCATTAGTAAAGAAGCAGTTTGTAAAATTAGTGTGTTGTTAAATTTAGTGTATTCTTAAGAAAACATTAGGATAATGCGACCTATTATTTATTATTCTTTTAATTTATCTAATTAGCATCAGTTAAAAACAACTGAAAAAAACTAAAGCATTAATTGAACACACTCAAGCAAAAATTTTAAAAACTTTGTTTAAAGTCTTTAAATGCTAAAATAAAGAGATATTTAGAAAAAAGATATTTAATAAAAAAAAATATTGTTGAACTTACTTTCAACAGTGAGTGTAGCTCGAGTTTCAGCTTTACCCATATCATTGATAGCTACAACCGAATATTCCCCAGTATCTGCTAGTTGAGGTTGAATTAAATTGAGTGTATTAACGTGTCCGTCTTGTTTTGGGTGCAAATCCTTTAATGGTTTTCCATCTTTATACCACGTTATTTTAGGTGATGGATTTCCAACTATTTGAGTAGATAAGACAACGGTCTCGCCTTCTTTGACTACATACGATTGTAATGATTCTAAAATTTCGGGTGGCTCACTTTTTCCAGTTTTTACCTATTATGTAACAAAATATGTGGCAATTATGTTATGTGTGTAAGATATGCATATAATAAAAAGACGATATTTATTAATATGTATCTTTTCATATCGTTTTAACCAACCTTTACAGGAATATCAATAGTAGCTTCGCCCTCCCTGTTTTTAGCAACAATCTTATATCTTCCCTCCTGTTTCTTTTGAATTTTACTGATTTTCACGACACTGCAGTACATGTGCATGTCGCTTTCGGTCGCTACTACAATATTTTCTTTACTGACTACCTGAGTATCTTTGTAGTACCATGTTATGTCTGGCTCCGGGACAGCAACTAATCGACACTCTAGTATCACATTGTCACCTTCGTTCACATATTTTGCTTTCGGTTTTCGAGAGAACGTAGGTGGTATACCCTCCAATATATCCGCAAGAGATGATTCTCTGAATATCATAATAATGAATAACACACAAACAAAAATTCTAAAAAGTATATAATAAGATACACAAAAGAGATACAAACCTCGAAAGACTTTTTCTCGATAAACCGGTAACATCCGATCCATGATCTGATAAAGGAGCTTCAACGATGAGTTCAGTGGTGCTGGATGCAAATCCAGCAGCGTTTTTCGCTACACATGTGAAAGTGCCAGCATCTTCAGGAAAAACTTCTCTGATTATTAAGGTGGCAACGTTATCATCATCATAATACATTTGGAAATCAGTAGACGGTTTGATAATAGCGGTCTGACGGAACCATGTTATCTGTGGTCTTGGTACACCTTCTACTTGACATTCAAATTGAACAGTGTAACCATCTAACGTGTGAATCGGCTGTAATTTCTCGATAAATCTTGGTGCTGAAGCTTTTTCTCCTGGAGCAGGCTCTGCAAAATCCAATTATGTAACAATACTTCGCTGAATTTAAATTATAAAATGGAGACAACGGAAGTAACTCAAACTTTGTTGTATCTCAACTTTATTGCAATTTTATCAGTATTTTATAAATATATACTTACTTTCAAAGATTGGTAATCTATCAATTTTTTCGTTCAATTTCCGTTGCAAGTAAATAGTATAATGCACCTCATCTAGCAAATATTGCGCTGGTACCCAGCCTTTCTCTTCAGTTAGATGCTTTTTCACGAACCACCAATCTTGATTAGTATGATCTGTAAAAATATTTTCGACATGTTGTAATTATAATTATAACAAGTGATAATATAAAACTGATGTCATAAAATAAATATTTTACCGATAATATAAACTTTTTCTCCTTCTATTAAGTTAATGGCTTCGTCTGTTTCGGCCTCATAAGAACAAATTGAAAACATAGTATCACCGTCACGAACGACATATTCAAGTGCGTCAACTAAAAATCATTAATAAGTTATTCAAAATAAAACATATATATATATATATATAAGATGTATAATATAATATATATAATAAACTTAATAAACGTTATTAAATAAATAATATTGAGAAAAATTGTACAACAAACCTTCTTCTATTTCCTCTTCTCTAGTAATGCTGAGAGAAGCTTCTTCTGCAATAGTATATAAAAATATCTAACAATGTCAATTGTAACACAGTCATTTACAATAACAACATAGCGTAAGACTTTTTAGACAACTAAAACATTTATACAAGCAGGGTCTATCTACAAGTTTATAAAGTTTATTTTAAATATTATAAATCCTATTTTTTTACATTAATTATGCAAATAAATATAGTTACTATTTTGCAAATTAAAATACAGCTACTACCGATATGCTTTTCATACGCGGCGGGTTAATAAAATTGTTAAGGATAACAGGTAAAAAATATTTTTCTGAGAGGAAATGCATCGATGAAGGAAAAAATGAAGCATGGGACTAGAATATATTCACTCATTGTCAAAAAGGTCAAAATATAATTATAAAAATATATTAATTATTATTTTTACTGAAGCATACATTGCGTTAAGTGTTTTTGCTGCACGAATGCATGTAGACATTATCAAACCTTCTTCATATGTAGAGAAACGTCTTTTACTCTTCAACTTCAACGCCAAAGATTCAGTATCGATTTCCTCGTACGAATATTTCCTATCACGTTTCAACTGTACTTTAACGTCATCTTCTTCAAGTTCTTCCACAGTATATGGAACTTTCTGTTTCTTTTTCTTTCGTCTCAATGGTATGCTCATTTCATCAACGTCGAGCTCTTCAATGCTATATTCTTTACCTTCTTCTTCCGATTCATCAATGATTTCTTCAATAACTGGCCCGGAATCATCTTCAATTTCTTGAATAATTTTAATTGTTTCTTCTCCAGTTTCTTCTGAATATGTAAGCGGGCGTCTTTTTGGTTTTAGTCGGACTTTACCAGACATAGAAATATCTTCTTCTTCATATGTATTCAATGAGATTTTAAACTCTTGTTCTACATCTTCTTTTGTTTTTGTAGAACGTGGTCTAAAAGTAACATTTTCTACTTCAGTAACTTCTTTGATGTCCGGCCTAGGCTTTCTCTTTGGCCGTAATTTACGTAAAGTAACATCTTCATAAATTTCTTCAATAGGCTTTGGTGGTTGTTTTGGTGGTTTCCGCTTCAATGTAAATTCTTCAATTATTTCTTTAGGTTCTATCTCTTCAAGTTTCTGAATGATCAATTCTTCTTTTTCTACAATAGGTTTCTTAATTGTAACTTCATCCGCGACTTCTTCTTTTGTTGGTTTCTTTTTTGGCTTTGTTAATTTTATTTCTTCTGAAACTTCTTCCGGAACTTGTTTTTTCTCCTCCGGAACAGGTTTCTTTATAGTAATTTCAGCAGCACTTTCCTCTGTAACTGGTTTCTTCTTTGGTTTTTTCTTTAATGTAACTTCTTCAGTGATCTCTTGTATCTCTTTTTTCTTTTCCTCAACTACTGGCTTTTTAAT